ATGTTTGAACTTAACCTCACCTTCATTTGAATTTGCAGCAGGCTGTTGTACAGCATTATTCAGAATATGTAGCTGACACTCTTCACTGGAGCTAAGCCTGTCCTTCTCAGGACTTTTGCCGTCGGCAGGAATATACACATCGCTCTGATTCAGCTGCTCTGAGCACAAGGTCTCAGAAACAACGGGCTCTTTCATGAGAGCATCAAGCAAAGTTCTCCCTCTTGTGGAGTCAAAGGTAACTCCACTGGCAATTTTAAATTGTGCTTCCATGACCACACACACTGAGCCAGACAGTGCCTAACTCCTAAAATAGCAAGAGAAAGGTGAATTTAATTTGCAGATTTCCTTATGTGATGGCGTAGTATGGGCAAGAGCAATGGCTAATCAGAAATAATGTAATATCATCATAATGAGCATATTTTGATCCAAGCACATACCATGTTATTGCAACCAGGTTCTGAAATTCTTCTTTTGCACTATTGTAGAAGCACATCTAAATAGGTCAGGCATCTTGTTCAGCAGCTTGACTTGAACTTATGGTCGTTACCATCAAATTCGCCTTTTTTCTATTAGTAAATGACTCTTTGCACTTCCTCTCTAAAAAGGAAGGATTTATTACAGTTTTAAATCCGAGCACATTCCTTTCTTTTCCTCTGGTTTCTGCATGTAGGTAGAATGTTCTTAAACAGCCCCAAGCAGCTTTTTTTCCAATTTAAACTCTCTTTGCCCTCCCTCCAGCAGGTGTGGCACACAGTTGTCTGGCTCTGTGAAATGAACAGTTCTGAGCACTAAGTAAATATATTGCTGAATTAATCTTTGTTCTGTTTGTATGCTGAAGTGTATTCGGTTCCATCACTTGACACACAGCACATTTGGGTGACTAGCTCTTTAAACACCTACTAATTTCTACTGTGTTTTTCATTGAATTGTAGCATGAACCAATTAATTCTCATTTATTCTTCCTGTTAGAAGAGCACCGACTCATGAACATTTGTTTTAATGTTGACCTCTCCTGTTTCAAAACCATGGTCATGTAAATCAAATTCCACTCCCTTCCTTTGACTCTAATACTGACCTTTCTAGGTAGCTAATAACCAGACATTTCAGTAGCCCACTTGTCTTCCATGTTTTTCAGTGACATCCAGTACATTAAATGTGTGTTCCTCAATAAACACTTCTAATTTCTTGTGGTTATAATCCAGGCTCCTGATGTACAAGACAAAGAAGTTATTCTCCTGTTATTGTGTGGTATCTTATTTAGGTTTGCATTTTATTTTCCTCATTCGCCTTTCTTTTTTTTAATTTTAGAGCTTTTGAGACACTTGCAAAATTACAGCACTTCACATAGTTGCTTGGCTGCCACTCCTCGTAAGTCAAAACTGAATCCTGCAGAAAAAAAATGGGAAGATTTACAAAACCTGATAGCTTATCAGCTAGAGAACAGGGACTTGACAGACCTAGTACTCCAGATTCAGAGATTGTGCAATAATACTTCCAAAGTTCCTGTTACACAATGAAGGTAAATTTCAAGAAAAGATTTTTAGGAAGTGGCTTCAGTTTCAAGTCACTCATGTGCCAAAGGCACTTTGTCCTGTAACAGAGGTGTGACCTGGCCCACTGTCAGATTGTGCATCTCTCAGGTTGTTTCACACTTCAGTATCCTCGTCCTACCTAATGTGTGAAGGCATTTCTTCACCTCTGTAGCCAGGGAGCACACAACAGCCCTTATGGCTCTTCAGGCTCATGCAAAGCCCAGATACCTTCTTCAGACTTTCTGTGGCTGATAATTAGAATCATAGAATCATAGAACAGTTTGGGTTGGAAGGGACCTCTAAAGGTCATCTAGTCCAAACCCCCTGCCATGGGCAGGGACATCTTCAACTAGATCGGATTGCTCAGAGCCCCGTCCAACCTGACCTTGAATGTTTCCAGGGATGGGGCATCCACCACCTCTCTGGGAAACCTGTGCCAGTGTTTCACCACCCTCAGCGTAAAAATTTTCTTCGTTATATCTAGTCTAAATCTACCCTCCTTTAGTTTAAAGCCATTCCCTCTTGTCCTGTCACAGCAGGCCCTGCTAAAAAGTTTGCCACCATAAGCCCCCTTGAAGTACTGATAGGCTGCAA